CGAGATGGCCATACCCACGTCTCCGTCCACCACGCTGCTGCCGCCGACAGTACCAAACCCGCCACGCACGTCGGCCTCGGCCCACTCGCTCCGCACGGCAGCAAATATGGCGAGCATGCGCTCCAGAACGAAAGCGTGCGCGCCGAGCAGCTTGCGCGAGATCTTCTTGTGCTTGCTCGGTCGGCCCCTTTTCGGCGCCACGAACCCGCCGCCGCGGCGTTTCCGGCGGCCGTGGTGGTATGTCGAGAAGAGCGTCAGGTCGTGGCGGGGGGCGTTGTGCGAGGCGAGGTAGGCTGCGAGGAGAAGCAGGCGGGTGGTTGTCGGTAGGAGGGTAGTCAGGTCGGCGGTGGCGGTGCTCATCAGCGCGGCCGCTGACTGGGTTGATGCTGCTGCGTGCTTTGAGGGCGTGCCTACTGGTGTATGGCCATTCGTCTTTGTCGTCGTCGTTGTCGTAGAAGAAGTAGGATTACCGAGCTTGATGGAGACGATACTCGGGTTCAGGAGGCTCTCGTCCTGGAAGTGCACGCGCGAAGCGATGAGGAGCTTGGAGAACTCGCGCGGGCCGTGGGTGCGCGCCAGGATGGGCGCCGTGAAGCGCGGCCAGAGGGCGTCGCAGCTGTGGCGGCACGAGGGTAGGGTGCGGGATGCCGAGGTGGTGAGGGCGTCGCAGACGGCGCCGACGAAGCGTGTCCAGAGGAAGTTTGTGTCGTCTTGCGTTGTGGTCGGGGTCGGCGGTGGCGGGGACGCCGAGATGATTTTTATGAACTCCTGCTTGGTGTAGTTTGGGAATTGGATGTGTGGTACGAAGGAGGTGCGGAGGCTGGAGGGGGGAGGGGCGGTGACGATGAAGACGCAGGTTAGACATGGTATCTATAGATGGTGGGTTAGAATGCCATAGTTGAAGGGGGTAAGGGGTTTTGCATCATCACTCACCACTTCGGATAGCCGTGCTAATGCTGGGAGGAGAGTTGCGGGAGCGTCTCTCTGACGGTCAATTGCGTCAAAGACGAGCACGAGGCGCCAGCCGTCGGGTCGTTGTGTGTACTTGAGCATCTTGCACAGCTCAACCATCAATTGGGCTAACGTCTCGCACTTCTTGGGCGGAGCCTCCCATTGTATCGCGTCCACCACGGCAGCGATTGTCCGCTCGAACAGATGCCGGCCCGTGATGCATTGTATGGAGTTGACGAGGGCGAAGCTGAGAGAGGTTCTGGGTTCGGCTTCGATTTCTTCGTCGGGAGGCTTGGAAAGGTTCCGCAGGAGTGACTCGACGATGGCTGACTTGCCGGTAGCTTCGGTGCCGTAGACGATGAGGTTCCGGCAGGGCGCGGCGGCGGGCTGAGGTGTTGAGGTCAGTGTCTGGCCTTTACACAAGATCACCTAAAGACTTGGCGACTTACATGGAGAAGAGTAGCTAAAGAACGGATCTGACGTTCGCGGCAGGGGAAACGTTCAAACAAGGAGGATAGGAGGAGCTCCTCGGGGAGCTGAAAGAGAGACGCCATGTCAATAGGGGAAAATTGCTCTGGCGTTCGAGCCTTTTAGTAAGTATCAACTCGAAAACAGCGTTCGTCACCCGGAGAAGAAAACCGGGGAAACGGGCCGGAAATCCAAGACCGCCGTGTCGCGTTCGAAGGTACGGAGTACATGGAGAGGAAATGGCCTCCAAGCCGCTGAGACGCGAAGTCAGGTGACCGGAGCATCGGCCCATCTCGGGCCCCTCTTACGGCGGATGCAGGGGATCAAAAGTGGCCCGCGTGCGTTGGGACCCAGGCGCCCTGTGCCGGGCGCAGCTCCACTTCTTGAGACTTGACCACACTCAGTTTTAGGTAGCTCGTCTGCGGCAGTGCGGCCTCACAAGCTCACAGAGTCACAGTACCGGTAACTTCTCAAGTCACAACTCCCCCCGCCTCCTTCACTCATCGGGAACTGTGCGCCAAGTGTCAAATGTCCACGTTCCCCAAAGGTCAAACAAACATGTCCGTATCCAAACCCACTCCAACGCCCAAAAGGGCAACCCACGGAGGGTTGACAGCAGGGAGAAGGGTACTGCGGGAGGCGCAGTGCTTTTACGGATACACAGTACCCTTCTTTCCGACCCTTGGAATGAACAAACTTGTGTGTGTTGCCGGGTCCTAAGAGGCTTGCGCAAGCCTCTTATCCGTCCTTTTTCCCCTTCTTGCTGCCGCTGCACATGCTTCGTGGCCCTGGCGGCGCAGTTTGGGTACGTCAACGGCATGGAACACACACCAGGGCATGTACTGTTGCGGCGCGTTCGTTCGTTTCTCTCCCACTTATGAGGTTGAGCTTCTCTGGCTTCTATTAGCCCGTCTCATTACAACCGGCATGCCACCACCTTCGAAGGATTCGTGCCGCCCAACGGGGGATAGCGCTAGTCATCCGTCAGATGAGACTTAGGTAGAGAGCTGGTCAGCTCAGTGTGGGGTCAATGATCTCTCCATTTGTGGCTTTGATAACTGAGGTAATAACACACCTGGGAAGGCAGCAGCATGAGATTCGTTTGTTCATGAGGCCTCACACACACTTAACCCGACACAACTTGAGTCGGCATTTGCATTTTAACACCAACGGAACCAACCACCTACCTAACCCCTGGGGGCAAAAAAAGAGACAAACTTGAAGCTAGCGGGCCGACTAATCAGTGCGAAGGGGGACTGTGTTTTAAAGCTTCATCCGATAACTAGGCGTCTCATTCCGTCAGCAGCGTCACCCACCCACGGAACTCTGTTTCAACCCCGACGACATCTCTACTTCCCCCGTCCGGCCGTTGGACATCATCCCTAAAAAAGTAGAGGTCCGAGCATCACCAACTCACCCCTTCTACCTAGCGTCCCGACTTCACACACTTGACAATTTCGGAACGACGTGCCTTTCACCTCATTGCCACTACCGAGAAGCTTCTCTTTCTCTCCCTCCCTCTTCCCCACTCATCATTCATCTCACCCCAACAACCTCCACCTCATCTCACTTCGCCCCGTAGTCATCCTTCCCTCTCATCCCGAATCCTGACGGACGCCGTAAGACTGAAGAGCAGCTGCTTGGTCCAGGTCCATCATTGAGACGAGAGTCGGATGGCCTCGGGGGGCCCCGTCAAGGACAAGACACACACGCACACACGATGACCATCCTCTCATCCTCCGGACAGTCAGACTCAGCGGACGCCGCCGCAGGAGGCTCAACTAATCACATTGAGGATAAGCCATACCACTCAAAACGGCCTCACAAGAAGTCCCGGACGGGATGTAAGAACTGTAAGACGCGCAAGGTGAAGTGCGATGAGGCTCGTCCAACATGTCGTAACTGCGTGCTCCGCAAGGCCAATTGCAACTACCCCGGACCGTCCCACTCCCACTCCGACCACCGCCCACCGGGATCGCCATCGGGCTCCTCCGCCGGGCCTTTCTCGCCGGCCCGCTCGCGGTCTCACACGCCGTCGCACCGCCGCAACAGCCACTATGCGGCCGGCGGCGGCGACGACGACGACGACGCCAATGCCCTCGTCATCAAAGAACCGCTCTACATCCCCGCCGGCGACAGGGATGCCATCGACATGAAGCTCCTCTGGTTCTACACCACAAACACCTTCACATCCTTCGCCACCCAGGCCGGCAGGGTGAAGCGCATCGACGACATTCTCAAAGTCAAGATACCAGGCCACGCCTTCGAGAGCCCCTTCCTCATGGACTGCCTCCTCGGCACCTCCGCCCTCCAGCTCCAGCACCTCAAGCAAGACATCGCCCCCTCCCGCGCCCTCCGCTACCGCGCCCGCGCCTTCGAGGGCTACCGCAAGGCCATCGAGGAAGGCAAACCGGAAACTTTCCCCGCCCTCATCGCGACGTCCTTGCTGCTCACCGCCTTGTCGTCGCAAATGTTCCGCGAAGAGGGGACAAAGGACCTCTACATCATCGACTGGATGGTCGTCTGGCGCGGCATCGGCCTCATGATCGACATGGCTACGCCGCAGACCCTCTGGGATTCCGGGCTCGCGGAGCTCTTCATGCGTCCGCCCATCAACCTCGACGAGGCCGCCAAGCATATCCCCAATAGTCTGCTCTTTATGGTCTCCTCCATCCAACCCGGCGACCTAGACTACGACGACATCTCGACGTATTACGACACGCTTAAGTACCTCGGCTCCCTCTATGCCGAGCTCGTCAATGGCTTCGGGCCCATTATGACCTTGCGCGTCGTGACATGGTTTACTTTTATTCCAAAGGGCTTCGTCGAGCTTGGGCGGGAAAAGAGGCCTCGCGCGCTTGTGATTTTGGCTCATTACCTCATGTTCATGAAGGCGACGCAGAATCTGTGGTGGATTGAAGGCATTGGAGACCGTGAGATTGCGGGGATTGTGAATTATCTGGGCGAAGGATGGTATGAGCAGCTTGCTACGCCACGCCTGGCTTTGCTGCTGGACGACCGTACTGATATTGCGCGGCTGATTCTGGGGGATCCGGACTGGGAGTCGCCCATTGACTTTTACAATGCTCCGACGCGTGATCCACGGACGGAGTTGCTCACTTGGGTTGATGATCACGGCAAGCGGTATAAGGGCATGCCGCAACGGGTTGGGGATCTGCACCCCGCGGATCCGGCGCCGAGGACGTTACCCTGGGAGAGGGATGGTTTTCATCATGACCCGATGATGCTCAGTCCCGCGGGGCGGCGATATGCTGAGAGGGTGCTAGAGGCGATCGACTCGGGAGTTCAGGACATGGATGTATCCTAGAGAGGCAAGGAACTACTCCCGTCAATGGACATGGCGTCGGGACCTTTGATAGTGTTCGATTACAATACCCGATTTGCGCACTTGCTTCACAGAATACAGTAGATGGTGTAGCTACTTAGACTTTGACAGTCTGTATACACCGAAGAAGTGAGATCAAGATCGGGCCAACGTATGCACTGTGATTGGACTTTCAACCAAGGCTCTCGCTTCTCTCGGTGTTAGCGGAAACCAGACTTTGTCGCTGACGAGACTTCATTGGATAAGTCACCAAGTCCGATATGTGAATATTATTTGATATGCACCTGTTGTCAAGAGAGCGAAAACTGTTACAACGGCCAAAAGCGTAGGAAGAGATGATAGTTCTGGTGACAGATCTAGGACGGAAACCTCGAAGTGTAAACAACTCCTGGTCCGCCGAGGATGTCGATGAATCCAAGGCACCTCTTCCGTGCCCCTCCAAGGCCAGGATGCCCACGTAGGCGGAACCTAACTTCCAGCCACAAATCGGCCTCGACCTCGGAATATACTGCAACCTCCGTTGGAAACTGCCAGTACCCACAGAAACAAGTTGAGCGATTCCTAAGAACGACGGCACCTGTGCCAGTACCCATTGTTCGGTACGCGGCGGGTGCACATCAGGCAAGTGATCTTAGTATCTCGCGATGCCGGAACATACGTTCCAGCCTCAGGATGATCCTTCTTCCTGTGCTTTATCAAGTCTTTCTCCCTCGCGTAACCCTTGGCGCCAGTCTTACTGCATCCCCTCACCGTACAGGGGTATTGTGTGAAGTCGTGGGCGTTCTTCATATGTTTGGTGTATTCCGACTGTGATTCGAATGGCTTGGAGCGGTTTTGCTCTTCGCGACTGAGTGTTTCGAAGATGTCGTCCCGGTGGTGCAAACAGTCCACAAAGTGGCAGACCGGAGGTGTTTGATACTTTCCACGATGGTTAGGCATAATACCGTCGATCTTCTCCTCGGCTTCGAACTTGTGGTAGCCGCGCACATGTTGCAGTAGATGATCTCTTCTCCGGAACCCATTTTTCCCACGGTGATTTTTGCAGAATTGACAGGGGAACTTCGGCAGGTCGGTTCCCAAAGAGTCAAGATGTCGGTTGAGGACATCAAGTCGAGCAAAGTTCCTGCCACACGAACAGGCAAAGGGGCTGTGCTGTGCATCGTAGCCGTGTTCCTGGAGTTTGGCCATGCTTTTAAACTCCACCAAGCACTCTACACATACAAGTGGGTGCTCCTCATCAACCCGCTTATGACCATCAATGTGTTCACGGTGATGCTGATCATACAGGATTCTGTATACGAAACGTTGTCCGCAGCCTGGTTGTAGACACGCATATGCTTTGTGCCTTTCGTTGACAGCATGATATTCCAGCGCAGATTCGCTGCTGCAATATTCGCTGCACTCCGCGCAAGTCTGGCGCTGTGCTGCTACAATCTGCTTGACTAAACCAAAAGAGGTTATCTCCAAGGACTCCGACCCAGTTTGGAATGAAGCGCTGGCCAGTGACAGTGTAAAATCATTGTCGTCATCTGGACGGCAATGATGCATAGTCTCATCCGTTCTAAGACTGCGTTAACTTGGAGAATAGGCAAAGAAAATGGCAGGGTGGGAACCTACCGATCGGCGATTACGTCGACGTTTCGGAAGTCAGGACTGACACCCTTTTTGTTAGCGAGTAGTAAAAAAAAAATCTCACGGATCCAGGGGGTCCGCAGCGCCAAGAGCGCCATCGTCGACGTGGCCGAAGTCGTAGTAACCAGTAGGATCAAGGAGATCCATGAAGCTGGTGTCGTTGGCGTAGTTCTCGGTGTCGACTTTGGCAAGGAACTTGTCGAAGTCGCTGGTCCAGGTGACGTTGTCAGACATTGTGGCGTTGGTAATCTGGTAGGTTGCAGGGGGTGCGTTGAAGCGGCGAGGGAAAATCAGGCTGTGATGGGAGTTGTAGGCTGGTGTAGAGTCGCAAAAGAGGTGCGAATGAGTGTTGGTCAAGGAGGAGAGGGGGACGGGGAAAGCATCCTGCTTATCTCAACCTACAGGAGAGCCTCCGAAGAGGCCTCGCGCTGCTTTAACGGGGAGGCCTGGTCTGAAGGGCGATAGAAGGAGGACGAACGGTGATAGGATGGGGAAGTAAGCCACCTTCCGTCCTTTTTGAGTGAGGAACAGGAACTGACACCCTTTTCCTGTGGAATAAGGAAAGTGAGGCTGTTGGAAGCGGCCACATGCAGGTTGGACTGGGGTTGCCTCAAGCAGGCGGCATACAAGGAAGTTGGCCGAACCAGAGAAGCAGTGAAGAAGGGTCGCAAGTCATGGTAGGTATGATGTGTGTATTGAAACAACCAAACTCCAAAGAGTGACAAAACAACATGAAATAGTTCACAGCATTTTCCAAGCCAATTGAAAAGCCCCTCATCCAATCAGAAAATCTTCAACAAACATCAACAAAACAACAAATGATACCAGATAGGAAGACCAAAAATGATAACACACTCAACCACCCCCCTTCTATGCAGTCTTTAGTACAGTATGTACAAATTTCATCTCTTACTGCTGCTCAAACAGAAGAGACCTGGGGTTACCAAGCAGGATCTTGAACGTCTCCTCAATCTTATCAAGCAGCTCCGCAGCATGACCCTTCCATGACTCGAACGTGACAATCTCAATCGTCAATTTGTCGCCCTGGGGGAACGCCTGGATCTTCCACTCGCGAAGCGGCTCCTGCTGCGGGTAAATCGTCTCCATACGGCTGCTCGCCGTCTCGAACCCGAGGCTCTCGACGTGCTCGACGTCCTGGTGCACCACCGTGTCAAACCAGTCCACCGAGGCGGGCCAGTCGGTGCACAGCTTGGCGATCTCTGGCAGGCCGATGCCCTCGTGCGCCGAGCTGGCAATGTGCTGGTTCTGTACGAGGTTAAGGAGGTCGAGGACCGTCCAGTCGTCCTCGAACTTGACGCGCACGGGAACGTATTGCCAGCAGGGGCCGACGACCATGTCGGCGTTGAGGAAGTCGATGTTGCGGCCGCTGACGACTTCGCCAAAGGTGACGTCGCGCGTGCTCTGCAGACGGGCGAGGGTAAGGGCCCAGGCTGCGGTGGGAAGAGTGGCGATGGTGACGTCCTTGGAGCGGGTTGAGATGTCGAATGTCCTGTCGATGGCGTAGTGCTGTCTCTCCGTCACGGGGGTATCGGGCTTCAGAACATTGACGGAGGATCCCTGGAGGAGCTCCTTCCAGTAGTCGACACTCTGGGGGATGTTGGACTTGACGACGTGGCCGACGAAGGATGAGAAGGGGAGGGCCTTGGGAACGGGCTTGCCCTCGTGCAGAGCCGACAGCTGGTGCAGCATGATGGGCAAGCAAATCTCATCGTACTGAGCGTGTGAGACGCGGAACACCAGGGCGGACTGGCCGTTGCTGCTGTGGACGAAGAACCACTTGACAAAGATGGAGCCAAGCGGCATCCGAGTCTGGACGTCCATGTTGCAGAGGTCCTTAACAAAGGTCTCGACGTCGCTGTCGATCTCGTACTCCACGACGGGGGTCTTGACGTCTTCGAGGATGACGCTCAGGCAAGCGCCATTGTGCTTAACAAAGACTGATCGCAGCACCTCGTTGAGAGAGACAAGCTCTTGACAGCTCTGGAAGAGGCGGGGGCGGTCAACGTCGCTCTCAAAGTACATTGCCTCGTAACGAGCAGAGAAGCGAGGGATCTCAATTGTGCCCTTGACGGCGACCTCCTGCAACGGTCTTGCGGGGAATGCGTCGACAATCTTCCATGTAGGGTCGGCCAGAAGGGGGCAAAGGGTTTCTGCCGGGGCATCGCCGAGGTTCTCAACCAGCTCAAAGGGAACGAGAGGCTTCAGAGACTCTTGAGAGTCCTGAGTGGGCTCAGAGTCCTGGAGGACGCTGGCCATGTCGTACAGTGTCCTCTTCGTGAAGACCTGGTTGACGGTAAGTGTAAGGCCAGCTAAGCGGGCCTCAGAAACGAGCTTCATGGCACCGATGGAATCTCCACCAAGACGGAAGAAGCTGTCGTTCAGTCCAATATCGCTCTCAGGGAGCCTGAGTACACGGCTCCAGAGTGTTCGCAGACGACGCTGCTTGGCGGACGTGGCAGAGATGCGCTTAGTAGGCGCTTTGGTGGCAGTGCTGGCCTTTTGGACCAGATCGCTCGTCTTGCCGGTGATCTCAACAGGTCCGTCCGCGTTGAATTTGGCGAGGCGCTCCGTCTTGTAAAACTTGCCAGCCTCCTTGGTCTCGGCCCATGAGGGGTTCTCCAGCGTGGAGAGAGACAAGTCGGACTTGCTGACAACCACCAGTTCACCAACAACTCCAAGAGGTGCCAGAAGCGCAGAGTCAGTAGGGTTGACAATGTACACCGCCTCGGCCTCCGGGTACTCCTGCTGGACGCTCTTGGCGCTCTCGGTGCTCAAGCGAGCGACCTCGGTCTTGTCCTCCTCAGTCAGGTACGCGATATCGCCAAGCGGCGTGTCGGTAAGCTGGCAAAGCTTCTGCGCCACCTGAGAGAATTGGGCGAGTGCCTTCTCCATGAGAGGCTTCTGGACAGTCTTTGAGTCGAATGAGGCCATCACCAAGAAGCCCTTGGGGTCCGTCGAGCAGACGAGCATGAGAGCGTAGGTGTTGAACTTGAGAGCTTCCTCCGCTGCCTCCGCGTCGCCGGCGGGAACGAGGCGGTTGGCGGGGTACTTGTTGAACTCTTCCTGGTCAAAGTCGTCGGCGCTCGGGTGCAGAACGAGACCGGTCCTCAGCTCGCAGGCCTCGAGGGCATCCGGGCTAAGACGACGAATGTGCTGGAGACCAGTGTGCTCGTAAGGAATCTGCTGGATGGTCTGGTCCTGGATGTCTTGGAGGTAGTCGCTGACGAGCGTCTCGGCGTTGACCTGGGTGCGGAAGGGGACAGTGGTGATCATGGGGCCCTCGATTTCGTCGGAGCCTCTGATGGGCGCGTTACGACCGGTGAGGGTCTCGCCAAAGACGACGTCGTTGGATGAGGCGTAGTGGGATGCCACGTAGGCCCAGGCACCGCGAATCACGGTGGCGACGGTGGTGTTGGACGCGGGTCTGCCGTTCAGGGGTACGTAGACTTCCAGGAGAGAATCGGCCTGCGTCTGGTAGCCCTCGTACGGCAGCGCGGGGAACTGCGTGGTGGCAGCAGCGCCCTGGAGCTGCTCGCGCCAGTACGTCTCGGCGGCGCTGCGGTCCATGCTGCCGAGATACTTGATAAAGTCCTTGAACTCGGCGGGGCGCTGAACCTTTTGTCCGTCAAAGGCCTTGTTGACCTTGTCGACGATGAGGGGCATGCACCAGCCGTCGTACAGGGCGTGGTGCATCGTCAGCACGAACTGCACCTTGCCCGACGCGTTGTCCTTGACGAGGGCATAGCGGACGAGGGGTCTGCCGAGGTCCATGCCCTCCTCGCGGTCCTTGACAAGGTAGCCCTGGAGGTCATCGCCAATGTGCCAGGCAATGTCTTCCTTGACGACGACCTGAGCGAGGCCGCGGCCGGGCACCTGGACGATTCTCGTGCGGAGGATGGCGCAGTCCGCGGCGGCGACGTTAAATGCGTTGCGGAGCTTGTCTGCCGTCGCCGCGTCCGCGAGGTCGACGACTCTCTGCGCGACGTACGCGGAAGTTACCTTGGCCGACAAGGCCATGAGACCCTCCTGGAGAGGCGTGCAGGGGTAAATATCCTCGATGGCGGACTCGTCGATGCCGCAAAGCTTGGCTGACTCGGCGCGGGCCTCCTCGGGAGTCCATCCTTCCTCGAGAAGAGAGAAGGGCGCGACGGCGGCATCGTCTTCCTTGGACACCTTGGTCGCGTTCTCGGCCATGGCCTTGAGGGTGGGGAAGTTGAAGATGGTTGCGACGGTCAGGGCGATGCCGTCTTCTCTCGCGGCAGCGACAAGCTTCATCGCGCGGAGGGAGTCTCCGCCGAGAGCGAAGAAGCTGTCGTGCAGGCCGATGGCGGCGGCGGACTCGCTGCCCAGGATCTTGATCCAGACCTGCTGCAGCGCCTTCTCCATCTCCGTCTCGGGCTCCGATTTCTCGGTGGGCGCGACGCGTAGACGGGCGACCTGCTCGCGGGACATGGAGCCTCCAAGCTCGCGCAGGCGCTTGCGGTCTATCTTGCCCGAGACCAGGGAGGGCATCTTGCGGAGAGGGATGTAGGCCGAGGGGACCATGTAGCGGGGGATCTCGGCGCCGAGGGCAATGTCGATCTCGGCGATGGCCTGGCTGAACTCGGGGGAGAAGGTGGTGACGTCGCCGGCCTCGGCGTCTGCGGGACCGTTGACGGGGTTCTGCTCGACGACGAAGGCGACGAGAGTTGGCTCGCTGCCGCCGGGCTTGATGACTTCGGCGACAATCTTGACGCCTGAGGGCATCTTGCCCCGGAGGTGGTGCTCGACCTCGGCCAGCTCGATGCGCTGACCGCGGAGTTTGACCTGCTGGTCCTTGCGGCCGACGAAGGCGATGGAGCCCGTGCCGTCCGGGTCGTAGCGGACCAGGTCGCCCGTCTTGTACAGGCGACCGTGTCTGCCGCGAGCGGGGCCGCCACCGGCGAGCAGCCAGGCCGGGTCCTCGATGAAGACCT